GAACAATCAACCAATGGAAAAGAAGTTGCTTTCCGAAGTTGTGGGAGCTTCATCACTGGAAGCTTTCAAGAAGAGACTGGACTGCCATCTGTCAGAAATGGTGAAGGGACTCCTGCTTGGGCAGAGGGTTGGACTAGATGACCTACAAGGTCCCTTCCAACTCTGTTAATCTGAATCTCTCTCAGATGATCAAAGGACTGGAAATTAAAAGAAATACGACGAATGGTTGCAGGAACTGGGCATGGCTAGTCTAGGGAAGAAAAGGACCAGAGGAGACATGATAGCAATCTTCCAATATTTGAGGGGCTTCCAGAGAGAGGAGGGAGGGTCAACCTATTTTTCAAGGCACACCTGAAGGCCAGACAAGGAATCATGGATGGAAACTGAACAAGGAGAGATTCAACCAAGAAATAAGGAGTAATTTTCTGACAGTGAGAGCAATCAACTGATGGAACAGAAGTTGCTTTGGAAGTTGTGGGAGCTTCATCACTTGATGCTTTCAAGAAGAGATTTGGCTGGCATTTGTCAGAAATGGTGTAAGCTCTCCTGCTTGAGCAGGAGGTTGAACTAGAAGACCTCCAAGGTCCCTTCTGCTCTATCCTGATTGATTGAATCACAGGGACCTTGGAGGTCTTCTAGTCCAACTCAAACAGAAGACCTTATACTATTCTGGACAAAGGGTTCAACAAAGGTCAAATCTTCTCTTGAAAATCTTCAGTGTTGGAGCACCCACAAGTTCAGCAGACAAGCCATTCGCTGATTAATTGTTCTCACTGATGGGAAATTTCTCCTTAGTTCTAGGTTGGATCTTTCTTTGATAACTTTCCATGGGTTATTTCTTGTTTTGTCCTCAGTGGCTTTGGAGAATAGGTCTCTAGAAGGGGTATAGTATCTCCTGCTTGAGCAGGGGTTGGACTACAAGACCTCCAGGGTCCCTTTCCAATTCTGTTATTCTATGTTATGTGTATCAGACATCTTGGTCCAGTCCAGAGCACGCTTCTCTTTGCATACCGAAAGCTGGTTAGGTTTCATCCTGCAACCTCCTCAAAACCCCGCTTCCCACCACTTCTCAGGCCACAAATAGCGTGGGCCCCGATTTGTCGTTTGCAAATTGCCCGTTTGTCGGCTTTGACACCAAGAGGCAAAAAAATTAATACAATGTTAAAAGGAAAGGAAGGGAATTCATTCTGTGTCATTAATTCAACAGGGGAGCCTATGACAAGATTTCCTTTTTTAAAAAAAAAAGGAAAATAATGGTAACGGTGAATATTCGCATTCCTTTCATCCCCTGAAAACCAGAGACAGAACTCTGAATCCCAAATAGCATTTTTGAGATGAAAGCAAAAATGATAAAGCCAGCTTGTTTGTGTGGCGCTGTGTGATCCAAGCTCTAGGGATGGATGGATGGATGGGCAAAAGGGAGGGTAGATAACAGTGGTGGATTGCAGGCGGTACGGGCAGACCGGTGCCTGCCCAGAGCACCGGGTACCGTTCCAGTACGGTGCTCCAGAGGCCCCATCCGCCTGTCTGTTGTTCTTACCTGTCTTTAAACTCTTTGGTGCTTCTGCGCATACCCACGGCGCATATAGCACCAATGCGATGCTCTGCTGAGCAGCTGGAGCATCACGGAGGCTCACGGAGGTGTCGCTGGAAGGTAGGACGCATCCGTGCGATGCATGAATGCTGCACACATTCATGTGGAGGATGCCAGGCCCCGTTGCAACTGTACCAGTTTCAACGGGATCTGGAACCCACTAGTGGTAGGTAGGTAGGTAAGTAGGTAGGTAGGTAGGTAGGTAGGTAGGTAGGTAGGTAGGAAGGAAGGAAGGAAGGAAGGAAGGAAGGAAGGAAGGAGAGATAGATGCTTAATGTTTGAGAGTTTGTTCAATCATTATATCCATTGTTAACAAAACAGACAGAAGCGTGTATATTTAATTTTGTACGCTCTTGAGGGGTTTAATTGTTAGGATGCTTTGTAAGCTGCATAGGGAGATGAGGGGGAGAGAGAGAGAAAGAGAGATAGATAGAGAGATAAGACAGACAGACAGAAGATACATGGTTGGAACTAGATAGATATGGATGGAAATAGATGGAGATAGATAAACAGAGAAATAGAGAGAGAGATGGGTGGAGAGGATGGATAGATGGATGGATGGACAGACAGACAGACAGACAGGAAGGCCTGGAGGAACATTGTCCATGGTATCATGATGGGTCAAACACGACTTCGCAACTAACAACAAAAGACAAAGGACCAACCCACTATCTCTTTCTCTAAAAGTCATAAGCAGAGTAGAGTCACTTCACGAAGGAGGCACCGTTTAATCTTTTATGGTTTTGCTTCCAGCACAGTGGCTGCTTTTAATGGGAGGTTTACCACATTGGGTCCTTTAAGCTAAGGATCACTTTATTTCCTTTAAATTTCCACTTTTTCATACTCTCTCCTGGTGGTGAATCATTTCGGAATGACCAGAGACGGTTGTAATATCACGCCTGGGAAGGACACGATATAAAAATGAGTGATATTCTCGTAGCTTGGCTGGTAATTCTTGGAGCTGCCATGAAAATGGTGACAGAAACATGGAAGGGAATTTGCAGAAGGCTGGGTGCACCTGCGATGTTCTAATTAAAGCTTTCTTGCTTCCTTTTATTTGGGTTGTATTTAACAACTAACCGATAAGCCTGGCGTTGCCCGGGTATTTATTTATAGAGGGGAAATGTCTGGACCAAACGTAATTTCTAAGATTGGATTTTCCCCCTTACCAGAGTGAGCCCCCTTGTGGAGTACTGTGGAGCCGTTACCATGGCAACTGCATTGCCCTGCACAGTAGAAGCCATTTTGTGGCAGTACAGTAGAAGCCATTTAAGGCACAACAGGCTGTATCTTAACAGAGCACACCCCCCCAAGGGGTATTAGGGATGTCTTACCCCCACAATATTTTTTCCCAGAGAGTAAGTCATCTGTGTACCCAGTTTGGTTGAAATTCCTCAAGTCGTTCCAGATGGTGGAACACACACACACACACACACACACACACACACACACACACATATAGAAGAAGAAGAAAACAGCCTACTAATTTACAGGTGCAGGAGTTACTTCGTAGGTTTACAGAAGCTTACCTTTGATGTCCTAAAGATGCTTTTAAAAGGCAATTGGAC